TTTATTAATATTTAAGATAAGTCGTTTTAAGTTTTTTAAAAATCTTAAGATTCTTCAAATGTTAAAATATAGATTCTAAAAAATCTTAAAATTTTACAATTTTGAAATCAGAAATAAATATTTATTCAGATTTACTGAGAAACTGAAGATGCTATTTTGCATTTTACTGGGATTTCATGTGATAGATCAACACAAATTCATTCCAAATTGTTCTTCAATTTAATATATTCTGATTTATGCCTCATTTCAAAAATAATTAAATTTATTATATCAGTTGGTAAAAACTGGGCCCTCAACTCACATCAAAATGTCTGCAAACTGTTGTGCAATTATGCAACTGTACGTCTGTGAAAAGCAAACGTGGAGCCTCCTGCACAGCCAACAAGAAAGCAGCAAGTGGTTTAAGTCAATAAAACAACACTTGTCTTTTCCAGCAGCCATTGCACAGCAATAAAACCAGCTGACCAAAGGTTCTGGAGCTCTGCTGGCATTGCCAGGTAACGGAGCACAACAAACGGGAGGATTTTGAAACGGCTCATTTTCCAGACAACAAAAAACATCTGGGTGGGTTTCGAATCACTTAAGACTGTTTTTAGAAACAGCTGAGACTCAAATGGAAGTACAAAAACCTATGAAATGTGAATTTTAATGTATTAATATGCATAGTGGATACCAAGGTCTTCCTTATCACTGCTTATGGGGGCTGAGCCAATCAGCAATAGCATGTGGAGTAGCTTTGAGCAAGGTACCTCAGCTCCCCAAGAGGCACTTTGAGGACATTTCTGTGAATAATTTGGGTTCATGTCTGCTTTATTTTGCAACGACAAAGGAGAAAAAAATTCACCTAAAAATTGCTGTTACAGTCCAGCATCCTTCCAGCTAACTTTCCATGGTCTCTGCCCAGGGAATGTGAGGTTTTCAACATAAAAATGTTGATTTGGTTGAAGTGGCTTTGATTGGGAAGGTGTTTTTCTTGTCTTTATTTCCAACAGTGTTGTGTTTGCGTTCCTCTCTCGTCTCCAAGCGGTCTGGCTCCATCCACCCCTCTGTGCCATTCTCGCCGTCCCCAGTGGGCACAGCCAGCCAGTCTGGCCAGCACTGCCCCTCGCTGTGCCCCTGTGCAGGATAAGCTCCCGTCTGGACCTTGGGCTGAGCCCTTTGTGTGCGACTGTTCGCGCTCCTTCTGCGTTTATATGTGTGCACAGCTTTCAGGAACAAATGAGAAGAAGGGGGTCCAATCTGTGCCTGGGGGAAACCTGCTAGCACCCCGGCTCCCCCCAACGCACCCTCACATGCGCCCTATTGAAGCCTAAGGGAGCGTGAACAATCACTGCAGAACCAAAGAGCTAAGTCCCCTTGTTATACAAGCCCAATTTTCAGCAGCAGCCCAACCTCTCGCCTCGGCCGAGGGTCCCACCCCCAGCCCAGCATTCCCCTCATCAGAGCTTTGTTAAAGCGAGCCAGGCCCCTTTAATGTCGTTATTTAATTAGCCATTCCACAGACAAACTACCACCGCTACCTCTGCCTGCAACAGGAGAGAAAAGCAGAAAATGTCCACAAAAAAGTAAGACATTTTTAGATTTATCTCAAAAATTATTGAGAAAATACAAAAAAATCTTTGAAAAAGTAGAAAAAAAACTGAAATTTTGAGACTTTTCTCACATTTTTTAGAAAATACAAGTAAATTTCTGACCTGGAAGAAAAATCAAAATTTTGCAATTAAATTTTGAGATTTCAAGAATTTCTCAAATTCAGAAATTCCTTGTGTTTTCTAGACAAAACAAGGAACTAATTTTAACAAAAAAAGAAAATTTTTGAGTTTAAAAGAAAAAAAATACCAACTTTTGAAATTTGGAAATTTTCTTCTTTTTCCTAGAATTTTAAAAAAAATCTATCAGAAAATTTCTGAAAAAAAACATGGACATTTCTGAGTTTGAAAAGTTCAAAATTTGGTCAAAAAAAATCTTAGACATTTATAAGAAAAATGGACAGAAACCACAGGGTTTCCAGAAGGGTTTAAAAAGTCAAATATCTGAGAGAAAAAAAACTCAGATATTATGAGACATAATGTTTTTAGAAAACACAAGAACATTTCTGAGCTCCAAAAGTCAGAAATTTGCAACAAGAAAAGTCAGACATTCTGAGATCCATCTCAGAATTTTTTCTAGAAAATTTCTCATCTTAATCTCAGACTTTCTGAGTTTTTTGGCAGGAATCACTGCCCTGAAACGCGCCATCATTCCCTCCTCATCATCACGTCCTTCGCCTCTACACACATTTCCATCCTCCACTCTTCCCGTTTTACTCCTCGTCTTTAATTAGCCGGAGATCGGGGGTCGACTTACGATGGACCTGCTGCAGTATTTGCTCTGAAGACACAGAGAGGGGAAGTGTTTGTCCCTGCATGGGGTTTCTCTCTCAGGACGTCACCCTAAGACCTGCAGAAGGAGACAAAGAGAAGCGCCGGTCCTACAGTAGCCAGCTCAGCCTTACTGTCCCCGCCGCCCGCTGGCTCCTGTCTCCATCACAACTCTAATTATTAACCAGATTATCAATGTGTGTCCTCTGGTGTTGTTGGGTCACCACAGGGTTTCCAGAAGGGTTTCAATTAAGTTTTTTTCACCTATTACAAACTCATTTTTGTACCAAAATAAAGCTGACAGTTGGTAGATTTCAGCAGAAAGACGATGGAAGACAAAATTATTTGATTTTGATTTTCTTTTTTTTTTACTTTGCTTTCATTATGCAGCAAATAAAGTTTTTAGAAATATTATGAATAAGGCTACAAACGTTTGGAAACCATAGACTCATCTGTGGACATTAGCTGTGCAAAGATTGATTCAGCTGAGGTAAATTAAAACAAATTTACAGAAGTTTTAGTAAAAAATTTAAAATATCCAGGTGTTTTGGCTTTGTCATCTGTTGGCACCATAAACAAAACTGGAGGTTTTTACTTACTTTACTTATTTTCACGTCTATTATTGCTTGTTTTTTTTTTAAGAAAAAATATCCACTATTTTTTGGTATATTAAGGACCAGAATAGCAATAATTGATATAAGTAGCAAAAAAAAAAAAAAAATCAGGCAAATTGAAATTTTCCAAATCAGTTTCTTTCAATGAAAAACTCATGAAATTTTAACAAAAACTGCAGGAGAATGTTTTAAAATGGTTTTGTGGGTAGAGAATCCTAAAATTTTACTCAAGTAAGAAATACTTCACAATAAAATTACTCAAGTAAAATTAAAAAGTACAGTTCAGTAAGAAATACTTCATTTTTTCAAGTTACTCAAGTAAATGTAACTGGTTACTACTCAACTCTGGTTGCAGCCATTGTTAAAAGATTCTCACACCTGAGCTGTTGACCTCTGCAGATCCTCCAGAGTTACCAAAATAATCTTAGCTGATTCTCTGATTATTGTTCTTGTTGTGCAGTTTTGGCGATTGATCAGGTCTCTGAGTTTAGGTTTTAAATCAGTAGATTTTATTGTTTTAAACCTAAACCTGCTTTAAATTGACCCCTGACCTTTCTACATAACCCCGTTTCTTCAGATGTTCATGGTTTCAAAATTTCACAAAAGGACAAAAATACGTGTATTGTTTAATTGGCATGAAATGTTTTAGCAGTTTTATACCACAGAAAGTGAAAAGGTTCACACTTACATTTACGTCAGTAATTTTATAATCCATATTTTAGTCTTCCTTTATTTTCGTACACATAAATGAAAACTAAAAGTACCAACAAGTCCCTTTTACAAGAGATTGTTTTAAGTGAATAATTTCTTAATATTGAGAGAAAAAATTACCAATTTGGTTGGTAGATTATTTCACTTAAAACATGAGAAAAATGTTTTAATAATTGGCAAGTGGAACTAAAACTGGGTTGCTAGGTGACGGGCTGGGCTTGGCTGGGGTTGCTAGGCGACGGGCTGGGGTTGCTAGGTGACGGGCTGGGGTTGCTAGGTAACAGCGCCTGTGGAACTAGCATATTTACAACTTGAGTTAAATTTCTGGATTTTCTCCTCATTGCATAAAAAACAAACACATTTAAACCAGTAGATTCTGTTAAAGTTCATAAGTTTTTTATTGAAAGAAGCTGATTTGGAAAAAAATTATTTTGCCTGATTGTTTTTTGTTGTTGTTGTTACTTATTAGATCCTTAAAATACAAAATAAATCTACTTAACTTCACATTTAATCCATCTGATGATGTAATTTTTAAATATTAAATGATTTATAATTTGATCAGTTTCAGTACTTGAGTAAACTTCACTGCCTTACTCATGTTAAAGTAGTGCTACTCTTTCTTGACTGATTTTTGGTTCTCTGCCATTTCTGCTCTCAAACAGCAGCAGGTTTGTGAAGGCAGTTCATGCTGGATCGACGCCCCCTAGTGGCCACAACAAGCCAAGCCAACACACAATTCACAGGGTTGGAACATCTAAAACCTCCAAAACTCTGACAAAAATAACCACTTCTTCTGGTCCAATTAGGGGACATTACAGGTAAAAAAAAAAAAAATTTTAATGCAAATATGCCAGCAGGATTTCCTGACGTCACTTTGGTCAAGCAGAAAGCGATGCTTGCTATGGGAAAGTCCTCCCCGCTCATTTATAGCCCCTTAATTACGAGCCTATTTCGTGACCTCTGGGGTTCAGCGGGGCCAATTCCTGTGCAGACCCAAATCCTGATGAACAAAGGTGGAATGCTCCATCAGTTTCATGGGAAAGTTGGTCCTGCAGCTCTCGGTCCTGATCCTGACGCGCATTGAAACCATTAGTCTGCTGCTGCTGCTGATGATGAAAGCAGCTCCGAGTCTTTTTGCTCAAAGTTCTTCAAACGTCGTTTCTGTTCCTGAACAACCGGAGCTTTAGGACCCTGCTGATGCGTGTCTGGCGGCTGATGTCCCCCCCACCATCCCCGAACCCCCCGGGCTGTCAATCAGAGTGAAAGTGGCCGGGGTGGGCAGGCCTCTCTGACACTTTGTACCGGCGGAGGCGGATATTTAACTTGGGACTGCGCTCCTCTCGCTGCAGACACACACTCCTCTCTCACACACAGTGAAAAGCTCCGGCGCAAAGACTCCTGCAGACACCCGGTAGGAGCTTCTGTAAGCGGCAGCAGAGCCGAGGAGCAGGAGGAAGGGGGTGTGCAGGTCCCTCAGGAACCCGAAGCTCCAGACTGTTGGATTGTCTCGTCATGAGTTGGTTTTTCTGAGCGGATTCAGCAATGCTGCATTCAGACGAACTCTGAACTCTCATCTTCAAGATTCTGTTTTTGTTTGTTTCACCTGAAATCAGAAATAATCAGAATAATAATCTGCGAGTTGGAACATCCTCTGGAAATATGAATGGATCTTATTTGCTGAGCTGAGCTGTGCGGGACAGTGAGTGCAGGGAGGACCCCGCAATCAACCACCGCATGTTCGCGGGACTGCGCGCGCTGCTCCGGGACTTTTTGGCAAACATCGGCGCGTCAGGCGACGTGAAGCGCGAGTCGTGCGTAAAAAGATCAGCCATCTCCAGCTGGTGACAGTCAGAAGTTGGATTTTGCGGCTCATTCATCCCATGCTGCTCCTCTCCGCCGCTGTCATCGCGGTTGCCCCCAGTGCCCCCCAGCCTCAAAACGGGTCACCATGACAACCCGGAGAAACCCAAAGTGAATCCAGAAGCGGCGCGAGGCAGCAGCAGCTTCAATACTGACGTTTTTGCGCATTTCTGTGCAAATCCGAGCTTCATGTCAGCCAAACATAGCCGCCTCTAGCTTTGGACTGAACTTATGACGCCTTGCCTTGCAGACAACTGATTCATTATTGCCCCCCTCCCCACCCCCTTCCCTTCCCCTCACCCAAAATCGAGAAGAACCGGCACCAAGGAGGGAATAATGGGCCTCTCACCGACGCTCCTGGTTTACGCGCTGGTGTGCGTTCACCTCGGAGTCTCCCAGCATTTCTTCCGCCTCCGTCCGCTGCCCAGCGAGCACCTCCCCGTCCCCGACCTGAAGGAGGACCCCGACCCGGAGTACGACCCCCGGGAGCAGGACTTGGCCGAGAAGCCGCTGCGGAAGAAGCTGGGCAGCCACTTCGACCCCAACTTCATGGCCATCAGCGCGCCGCTGCCGGTCAACCTCACGTCCCCGGACGCCCAGTGGAAGCCGCCGGGCCACATGCCCAACGAGATTAAAAAGCTGGACCTCACGGAGACCCCCTACGGGAAGCGGTTAAAAGTGGGCAAGAAAGCGCGGAGGAAATTCCTGCAGCTTCTGTGGACCTACACGTACTGCCCCGTGGTGTACACCTGGAAGGACCTGGGGGTGAGGTTCTGGCCGCGCTACATCAAGGAGGGGAACTGCTCCTCCGAGCGATCCTGCTCCTTCCCGGAGGGCATGTCCTGCAAGCCCGTCAAGTCCATCAGCAAGACGTTCCTGCGGTGGTACTGCCAGGGCTTTCTAAGACAGAAATACTGTACGTGGATACAGGTGCAATACCCAATCATCTCAGAGTGCAAGTGTTCGTGCTGAGTTTACTCCAAGGAAGCGGACTGGAAATAGTTTCAATTGCACTGTTAACTCTCTACAGAGGTGGGCACCATAGCAGATCTATTTTTTTATATGGCATTTAAGTGAAATACCAACAATGTACATATTTAAGGGAGAGAAAAAAATGCAGCTATTTTTTCTAACTGAACTTGGACCATATTCAAACATTGTTTTTGTTTTTTTCCTCCAGGAGCCCTTCACGAGGAAGAGCTTTTTTATATAAATATATTTTTATGAGACATTGATGAAGGAATTCATGATATGCTACACTTCTCCAAGAGGTGACCTTTTTTTTTTCGTCAACTGAACAATGATGCTGTTTGTTATTTCACTGCAATGCTGCCTAGAGTTTTTGTAAAATATTAATATCAATATTAATTAAACTGTAAAAAAGTTGAGGTTAAAGATATATAAATATATATATATATAAATATATATATAAAGGCGTGAACTCAGCTTTTTTTTTTTTTTTTTTTGAATACTTAGTATTGTAGAAATAAGCAAATCTGTATGTTTTATTTATTATTTTAACGATTTGTGAGTATAGAGCATAAGGAAAGAGAATAGCAGAATATTACCAGAAAAAAAATATGGAAGATGTCTACTTGAATATTTCTAAAAGTGACAAAAAAAAAAAAATAAAGAAAAAAGTAAGGCATATCAGTGTATATGTTATGGTTACACGTGTTAGCAATAAAGTCTATCTTTTCAACGTGTTTTAGTGTCAAAAAATGTTGCTTAAAAGAGTTTCTGTGCAGAGGGGGTGTGTACACTGTAAAAACAGACATCTGAAGACGACAAGTTTAGTCCGAAAAAAAGAAGTTTGAGCTAGGGTTGAGTCAGAGCCTCTGAAAATCCCATTATCAAAACTTTATTTTCATTAAATCATCAAAACATCCTGTTAAGCATAACAACATTTTTACATTAAATCATATTTTTAAGTGCAAGACCCATAAATCTGCAAAAAAGTAGTAAAAATGTTGCTTTAAAAGTATTTTATATCCAGAGGGGGCATGTACTGTAAAAAATAGGCAGTAAACCTTATTGTGTTAATTTTACACTGGTAAAATAACCTGTTAGAACGTCACAATTTACTTAATCGATGTTTCTGAGTATACATTTTGTAAATTTAACAGCTAAAAGACACTCACCTTTTCAGTTAGTTATTAAAACCTTTGTGGTTTGTCAACCAACGTTAAAATGAAATTAAAAACAAGAACTGTGGTTTGTGATTTTTGTCAGACAGAAACAGTTTTTAAATCTCATTCTTAACGACAACCGCTAACAATTCTGCTTAAAAAGCTAAACTTGCTCGCATGTTTTGGGGACAAAACAGGAACCAGTAGCAACGCACAAACTTTCTCAACCACAAGTTTCATGACAGTTTTTAACTTTCTCTGAGTTTTTATGAGTTCAACAAAACTCATAAAAATCAAATTTGCTGCACAATTGTTTGGGCAGGATTTGTAATCAGGACATATCAGCTAACACTTTTTGGAACTGAGCATCATTCTGCAAACTGATATCTGTACACAAAATCGTATGGCTAATATTTCAGACTTGCTAAAATCCACTTGCATTGTGCAGCCTGGATTTCGTTTTATTTCTCTGTTTTGGTGTTATATTCATGCCATAGCATGAAGACGATCCACTCAAGGCTGGACTTCAGTCTTCAGACGGTTCAAATAAACCCAAATCAAGTTTAGTTTTTTACTACGTTGGATTTTATGCACCAAAAACAAATGAATTAAAACACATGAGGATTTCAGTTTGTCGCAAACAGACCTGGCTCATTTATTGTGGCATTTCTCTTTTTTTAAGCATCTAAATGGAAACAGCATAGATGCCTAAAACTTTGAATTTGCATGTCAGGCACCAATTTAACTCCAGCCCAGGGGCCCAGATCCCCCTAAATGCGGCCCTGGGTGCAGACAGCTAAGCAGTTACTTAACCGCACAAGTTTCAGTGGCTCTGTGTGGACTGCCTGCGCGTCGCTGGGTTTTTAAAAAAGAGCCTGATTTACAACGCAACACATACCTGAAGCGCCTCCACAGAACTGGCATTCATTTGTCAGAGAGAGAGAAACAGAGAGAGAGAGAGAGGGGTGGGAGTCTGTGGAAGTGGGAGTGGGGCGGCAGAGACACGACATTCATCTCCACTGTCTACTGTCTGCGCGCACGCTGGCTTCCAGGGATCCGAGGTGTTAACATAATGCGTAAAATATGATTCAGACATGTCAAACAGTGTCAAATGATGAAATGGCGAAGCGTCTGGGGTCTGGAAGCTCCACACAAGTTCCACTGAGGTATTTGTGTAGAGGTGGAATGGAGCAGACCGGCGCCTGCTGGAGTCTGACCGCCCCTGAGACAGAGGGAAAGAAAAAAAACCAACAAAGCGCATATAAAACAATGGTCAGCTGTTTTTCAAGTTAGCAGACTATTAATTAAGAGAGCTTGCGAGTTAAACAGATATGGCCCAATTACTCGCGCTCATTTTCTATAAACGCCTCTCCTTTTATGGACTTTATATGATTAGTGTTTAAATGCGAGCAGCGACTTAAACGGGGCTGTGGCTGAGCGTGTGGAGCGTTTCCAGTGAGCGCATCTCGTGTGCCTGAAAGTGATTTGTGTGTTTCTGCGGCCAGAGCTGGATTTTTGACACTTGCCGCCCGGTTATTGTGACACAGCCGCTGATGGGATTTGGTCAGCAGAGGAGAGAAGAGGAGAGGAGCGGCACCGCGCCAGGAGGAGGAGGAGGGGGCTGCTTTCCTTACTGTCAGCTTCTTTCTTGATGATGTCTCGGGGTTTTTAGAAACTGCGTCTCTGACTCGGCGGCGCCACTCAGCCGCCCCCTCTCCGCTGCGCAGAATGAGGTACTTTGGGAAACAGTAACCCTTTCAGGCTCTGCCTGGAGAGGATTTTAGAAGCGTGTGAAAGGCAATACTTCGCCCTTGCTGCAGCCCGACAGTTGCGCACCAAGTAGATTCTCATGGTCGGATAATTCCTCAATTCTTTAGAAATAATTATGTTCACCAAGAATACTTTCAGTTTTATTTTACTGGCTATAAAAGGAGTCAGATTTCATAACTACTAAGGTTTTCTTCAGTTTGATTGGGAGAATGGTGCATCGAAAAACCTGTTCCCCTCCTGGCCTGTGGGGGCGCTGGACCAAGAACTACTGGAGGAAACGACATGAAAACCTCTGAAAAAGACCCTGAGTGCAATTTCCTTTTTAAAGAAGTGTAAACAAAAATGGAGGAGTGTCAGACTAAGTGGTTGTAGGATTTCTCTTTTGGTTGTATTTACCCAGAATGCCCTGCGTTGTAGCCCACTTCCTGCCTTTGGAGTCGTCTCCAGTTTGTTTGGTGTTCACATACACCAGAGTTCACTTTAACCAAACTCAGACTGAGGTTTGTAGGAGGACCAGTTTGTGTTTTCGGTGGATTTAGCATTCACTTCTTCCCAAACGAACCGGACTTTCTACAGAACCGGACTGGAGTTCGATTAAAGCGGACTCTGCAGGGCTGGTCTGAATGCAGCTTATGTTAGAAACAGAAATTACACTCTTAAAAGTGGCAAGTTTAGCACTGGATTATTGTTCAATTTGAAGTTGGGATTCAGGTTTATCCAGGACTTTGTAGATTTTCAACCCAGAAATGGGAATCAAGTCAAATATTAAACAATAATTCAGGATTTTCTTAAAGTACGGCTCTGTTAAAAGGTTTTAAGCAGTGAACGTCTTACCTAGTGGATAGCTCTCTTGATATCTTCCGCTAATATAAATCCAGATTGGTCTCAGAAGCTAAAGCTAATGGATAATCAAAGGAACATCGGCATGTTTTATGCATCCACTCTGCTATAAATTATTTGCATTATTACAATTTGTTATTTACATAGAAGAAAATTATTTAACTTTAGGTTGAATAAAGTTTGATGTCTGTGTTGATGTTGTGTTTATTGACGGTTAGCGATGCTTTAAGTAGTTAGACGTTTATGTCCGTGCTCTTACTTTGAAGTGCACAGCAGTTCCATTTCCTGTCCTCGAGTTTCCCACAAATAAAGTTTATTTTGTACCAGAATGCTTCACTGTAGAAGAGCAACATATTGATCAAAACTGAACTATAAAACTAAAACCACTCACACCTGGTGTCAAAATGGTTGAATTTAGCGCTTTAGCATTAGCGTTTGCTAAATACCTTGCTGCTATAGTGATTTAGCGTTAGCAAACCTAATCAAAACTTCCTCAAAATGTGAACTCGATTTAGATTCGCAGTCGCTGTGGCTAAAAGGCACGATGCCGATTGACGCGCTATTGAAAGCGAGAGGATGAAAAGCAGCCAAACAGCGTCATCATCATCATCACCATCATCGTCGTCATCATCATCAACGTCACATTGCATCCATATAAATGTCAACTCTCCGGTGGCCTTTACCCTGTCATGTGCTCAGTGTTATTATAGCCTGTCACAGCCTGTCTGTGCTTTCATCAGCGTATAAATGGACCCGCAATAATAAATACCGTTTGGACGCCTCATACACATCAACACCCTCATGTGAGTGGAAGATAAAGCGCACATTTACTAGCTGAAAGGAGGGTTGAATAAAGGCCTGGAGACAATTAGTTTGGGCCTGATGGGGAGCTGGAGGGGGAGGAGGGAGACACGCTCGGCGGCGAACGTCCTGTCCCCTGATGACTGCCAATTATGATGGATTGGAGTCAGACTGGGAGGGACTGGGGTCTGCAGTGGCTTTCACTCAAACATGAACGACACGCCCACACCAACATGCTGCCAAATAGACGACACACACACATATATACACACACGCACTCGTAGCATGTTGGGTTGTGTGTTAGAAAGACAGAGACCAGAGACTATACGGTCTGTGGCTGTGAGTAAAACCCAAACCTCAAAGTTGTAAAAGCAGTGAGTCAGCACAGCTGAGGTTATTGATGATGACAGGGTATTAGATAGAGCGCACACACACACACACACACACACACACTCTCAGAGTTACCACAGATCATACCCGGCATTCCATCTCCGTACCACCAAATCTAAGCTGTGGTGTCTGGAGCCCGGGTACAGTCAGTGTATGTTGGTGTGTACAGTCAGTGAATGTTGGTGTGTACAGTCAGTGAATGTTGGTGTCTAAAGTCAGTGTGTGTTGGTGTGTACAATCAGTGTGTGTCGGTGTCTACAGTCAGTGTGTGTTGGTGTGTACAATCAGTGTATGTCGGTGTCTACAGTCAGTGTGTGTTGGTGTCTACAGTCAGTGTATGTTCGTGTGTACAGTCAGTGTGTGTTGGTGTGTACAGTCAGTGTATGTCGGTGTCTACATTCATGCCTGTCAAACTGTTGCTTCTGCTGCATCATAAACTGGAGATGTCGCCTTAGTGATTGCGTCTGATGTGATCCTGTTACTAAAAAAGCAATTTTTTCCCCCACTTGCTTGACGTTTTTGCTTGTCATGCAGTTTTAGAAATTGGAAATCCAACCCTGACATGTCAAAAACATTCTTACCAGGAGTGTTACTTAATTTCAGTCTCTGCTGCTTATCTTCTGTTCCTGCCACTGCTAATTGCACAGGTTGAAGTTAAACAGAGGAGTAGCTCATATTTGCTTGGTGACTCCTTCGTTCTTTTGCAAAACAAAAACTGCAGCAACAAAATGTTTCCTTGTTTTTTATGGGATTTGGTGTAAAAACACTGACCTCGT